ACTTCACCCTTTACCCCCGAGACTCTGGTCTTTTCTCTGGAGAGTTCAGTTGTTGTTGTTATTGTTGTTTAGTCGTTAAGTCGTGTCCGGCTCTTTGTGACCCCCTGAACCATATTGCACCAGGCCTTCCTGTCCTTCACTGCATCCCTGCGGTTGCTCAGATTCATGCTCTTTGCTTCAGTGATGCTATCTAACCATCTCATCCTCTGCCGTCCTCTTCTCCTTTTGCCTTCAATCTTTCCCAGCATCAGGGTCTTCTCCAAAGAGATCTCTCTTCGCATTAGGTGACCAAAGTATCTGAGCTTGAGCTTCATTATCGATCCTTCCAATGAGCAATCAGGGTTGATTTCCTTTAAGATTGATTGGTTTGACCTCCTAACCCAAGTATGACTATATTTTAATTACAAGCAACAACAATTGCCTGGAGTGTAACTATATACTAGTGTAGTGCAGACAGAAATTGAACCACAGAATGGATAAACTTGGAGTCTCTTGCTGTGACATATAGTAGATACATTTTCCAAGATCAGGTAGATCCTAGACTGATTTTCATATTTGGCCCTGAGTGAATTTTCTGTTTCCCATAGGTCAGTTCCACTAGGGAAAATGCTGGTTTTCCAATAGACTATGGCTCCTTTGACTATTTCGTTTTATTGCAACGATTGCAATTAAAATGTGATTTGATCATGTTTTGAGTCACAGGTCAATTAAAAGTATTTTGACTAAATATAGGCTTTCATTTGTAGGAATCAGGAATGATTAAATATGGCCTATGGGATTTCCATGAAGAATATCTTTAGTTTACAGTGGGTTTTTTAAAACACAAATCAACAAGCTGGTTTAGCTTGCTCAGCCTTAAGGCCCTGGGAAAGATATCTTTGAGGAAAAAAAAGTCATGCTAGATTTGGAAATGTTCTCAAGAATCCAGAGAGCCAAGGAGCTTGTAACAAATGGCAAAATAATATGTTGGATTTGTCCTCCAAGACTCTAGTAAATGTTGGGTGAACTAAGGAAACTTACACTGAAAGTTGCAAAATCTTATCATCAAAGCTGGATGATCATAATTCTACATAAAAGTAGTTTCCAGAGACAAATATCAGCCTCCAACCCAGGTTGAGGGACCAGGTGCACAAGACACATTGGTCAGATCCTTCTAAAATATACAAAAAGGAATGGTTGTGGACAGAAAGAAGAGAAAGCCATATTAAAATAGAAATAGGGAATACTATAACTTCTCCAGATGCTGAAGGCTTTTTTTTTAAAGAGTTAAGAGCTGAAAGAGATTTTCTTAGAGCTTCCTCTTAAAATTAGTAGCGAAGTCAACTTATGCATCTCCCAAAAAACAGATCACAAGAAAAGAGTTGCAAATGTATACATGCAAATTGAGCAATAACCATTAGAAGAGAAGCAAGATACACTATAGCTTATTTAAATTGGAAAAATGTTTAGGTGTAAGTGATTGATGGGCAGCTCCAAGACACTTCCCTTTTGGGGTTCTTTACTGGAAAATAAAGGGTTGCTGGAAATAGAGAATTGTCTTCAGAAAACTGGGACACCAAATCCTTCTTTTGATGAGTAAGGATTCTGATGATGTAGAGAATTGAGGACTGGGCTGAAATTTTTGCCACTGAGTGCAGCTCCAGATAGATGGTATGGCTTCTTCAGTATGACCACACATCACACTCAGATTACATGGAGTGGGATGAGGACATTATCTATTATAAACAGTTTCTGCTTTCTTTCCCTTAAAGTACACACAGGGGTGTAGTGATAGTATCGCGAGAGAAAGAGGAATATTGTCAAACAATGACAAATAATGAACAAACAGGAAGAAAAGCTAACAAGGAGACAGAAATTGGAAAGGAAGTGGAGAGCCCAACCACATCTTTTAGAGGGCCTCTTCAGGTTGGACAATGTCATTGGTCAAAGCAGGTGGAACGGTTCCCCCTTCGTGATTCCCCTCCAACCTCTTCCCAGCAGGAGGTTCAGGAGTTCCTCTTGAAAGGCTAAGAATGAATCACATCATCCATCCATGTCTGGAATGGAACAGATGTGCAAAGTAGCCATCACATACTGCTGAGTGTCCCTGGTTCTCATCAATGTCATAGAAAGGTGCCAGCAAACGGCTCTGCACTGTAATTTCAGCGGACATCCAAAATAGCTCTTAGCAATTCAGCGTTGGGTTTGCGGCAGACAAGGAGTAAAACAAAAAATCAAAAATAGAAAGACGACCCTTGGCATTTAAGCCTGATGTTTCTCATGGAATACAGATGTATCAGATAAACATTGGCCCACTTTCCTGAAGTTCTTTATACCCAGGACATAAAAAATTCCTTTGATTTTTCCTGTTGCATTTGCCTGTATTTGCTTAAAACCTCATTTTGCTTACTTAGAACCTTCTCTGTCTCTGTCAACCATTTCTCACCACTTGCTAACTTCAGACTGTAAGACCTATAGAGGGAACTTGTTTTTTTGATCTGTGATCCTGGCTTGGTTCATATAGGATGCTAAACTGTAATATGAGCTCTATGTTTTAAACTTGGAATATGGAGTGAATCTAGCTGCTGTGATGTATAAAGCATAGTTGTTGGCTTAGCATACTATAAGAACACCAATTATCATTTTTAAATAAACCATGATTTGTCCAATCATGGCTTAGCATAGGGTATGGATGCAGCTAAGGATAACCTTGGTTTAAACATTCTTATGCCATGCAATTTGCATACATTCTCACTCCCTAAACAATGAACCGTGGGTAGGATTGCCTTAAGAGTGAAGCTTGCTTTCAAAATTATCCATGGCAATTATGTTATTATTGTGATGGAATGGAATTATGAAGGCCAGGCTCAGAGATATAAACATTTTCTTAGCTCGCCAGAGGAGCGTGGGAGATACAAGAGGATGAGACTGGCACCTCCCTGAGGAATTCACACTGTTGTGACTGGATGGCTTGAGAGCTGGGGTTTCAGTCTGGGAAGATTCTTGCTAGAGGTTGTAGTTAATAAACAAAGCTGAACTGAATTTGCATTGTCTCTTGGAGTTCTTTGGGCTAGGCCTGACATCAGTCTTCCCAGACTCCTACTACCTTCAAGTCAAAGGAGTTTGAATCATGGCAACGGATCCCCAGGGATGATGTCAGGCCTAGCCTGAGGAACTCCAAGAGACAATGCAAATTCAGTTCAGCTTTGTTTATTAGCTACAACCTCTAGCAAGAACCTTCC